TATATATATATATATATATATATATATATATATATATATATATAACGAAAGTATTAGCAGTTTATTGTGAAAATTTGAAATATTTTGTTTTCTTTTTGTAATTCTGTTTTATTTTAATTACAACCATCATTAAATTATAAGTTTTTCTTTATAACGTTTATCACAAAATACTGTATATATATTCTTATGTATTATCATCTACGAGTAAAATTTCAAAGTAAGTAAATATAAATATCTTTATAAAGTTGTCTTATTCATCTTTCTTTTTTCTCATTCTTATTTATCATTAAAAATATAAGACAAAATTTATATTAAATTGAAATATATTATTTGGTTGTCCTACAAATTGATTTATGACAAAAAATAGCAATTAACAAAAATGATTTATGAAAATAAGAATCTACAAAAATATTTTTGAAAGATATATACACGCACAAACAACATACGTATATATATATATATATATATATATATATATATATATAGTTAAAAATAAACGATTACATAATGTAAAACAAATTTTTAAACATAAAATATTGAAGTTAAAAATATAAAAGTTATAGCTTTTAATAAATAGTTATAATAAAGGATATTAATATTCTTTTTTTTAATAAAAGTGAATAAATTAATATTTACTATCTAAATATTAATAAATATATAAATATATTTTCATCTTTTTTTAAGAGACAATATGATGTTAGAGTATGGCCGAATTGCATATAGTTGGGCAAATTTTATCTGCAAAGAATTTTAAAGAGATACGTCTATTCTGTAAATGGAGTTTTTGTGTAGGTAAGATAAATGTAGGGTAGATAACATTTGATCTGTTTCTTTACAGATATATAATTATTAAATAGTGATATATTTATTGAATACTAATTAAACTTTATTGGTAATACAATAGGTAATGGTTGGAAAATTATATCAGGACTCGAAGAAGGACAAACACAAGAGAGCTGTGATTTTTATGTTAATAATCCAATCTGGGACCATCCTATAGACTTGCATTATACAACTAAGACTTTACAAAATTCTCCAAAACTACTGTTGCAAGTATTTTGCAGAGATAATTATGAAAGAATTCTTTTTCTTTCATACGGAATATATAATGTTCCATTGTCACCTGGTTCGCACATACTAGAGTGTCATACTTGGAAACCTGTTGGTATATATAATTAAAGTATATATATATATTTTTTTATTGTTATATATATGTTATATATATATTTTATTGTAGTTATATATATATATATATATATATATATATATATATATATATATATGTATATATAATATTTTACAATTTTACAATTAAATTTATTAATATTTTCTTATTTACATCATTTTAGTGATAAAAATTTATGTGCAGGTAATTGGAAAGACAAGCTGCAAAATAAATTCTTAGGAAAAAGCTTACAATTAAAATCTCCAAATGTTTTAATCAACACAGTGGATAGGTTTGAATTACTTACACAAAGTATGGGAACAGTGATTATCCACTTGCATATACTGTCAAGAAATTTTGACAAATTTGGATGTCAGTTGTAAACTAATTTAATACAAATTTTAAGAGTAACTTACCATCAAAAATAAAAAGTAAAGTTAATCAAATAATAGAAATGGATATTGGTATTATTAACGAACGAAGTTTATTTTGTGATAGATAGAGAAAGACTAATAAAAGCCATCGCGGATATCGATGTGAAATTTAAATTTTAATTTAGAAAGATAAAAAATATTTTAGAGAGATGTTCTAAGTGTCAAACGCATATTCTAAAGAGTTCTCTGACTTGTATCATACGAGAAGAATCTATCTTTTATGCTAGAACCGATTCTATAATCCTAATTATTTTAATATTATTCGCTTTGCTACTTATCTCCCTTATTAAATAATAAGTAAATGTTTACTTTAATTTTTTTTTTTTAAATGTAAAGATACTATATGGTCTCCAGTTTCCTCATCATGGAACTTTTGACTAACAACGTTAGAAACGAGAAAATATGTACTTAAAATTCTTGCAAAATATGTTGAAATAAAAAGATATATTCATAAAGTGATAATTGCAATTGATTGAGTAAATTTATAAAGTAGTTCAAACATTTTCCTTTTGTTCTAACAATCAATCAATTCTTGTAAAATTAATATGATATATAACCATAGATATTTATAATATACTAAGTCGCTAATTTCGTTATATATTTCCTAGATTCTGTGCATCTGTAAGTTATATACTTTACATAACACTTTATAGCAGCGCACTTACTAATCGATTGGAATGCAGTTACTCTAACCATTATGAGAATTCTCCGCCTAGGTTATTAACTACAGTTATTAACAAGTTAAGAACAAATTGTAGTGTAACTTATATTTTTACGATAAGATCAAAATTTCGAAACGTAGCAGTGTGGTGAGATATCTCTGTACTTCGCTATAGACCCGAGTTCGAATCCCACTACTGCTATCTTTTCCTGCCTTGGGGAAAGCTTTTTTTAATATTAATCCTAGGTATATACACATTTTTCGCATACGTAGATGCTACACTATCTGAAGGACCCCAGCTATTTTTTTTTATTATAACTCTAGTAAAAATCACCGTATTTTTACTTTATTTTTTCGATTATTAATAGACTGATAAACACATATATTTATTAAGGATTAGAATTAAATCATAATAAGTATCACATAATAAAGACGTATTGAAATATTAGAGTTACTTATAAATGCAAAAGAAACGTCATTTTATCATAATAGTTTGAAAAATGCATATCTCTTTTGGTAATAGAGATAGTCGAAAAAAGTTTTCAGATTTTGAAAGGACATATTTCAATGTACAAAGAAAAAATCGCTGCTTAAATATTGGAATATTATCATGAAAAAGCTCTAAGGTTAACGATTTTTCATATTTCTATTTTCTGACGGTTTTGCAGACAGGTATAAGAGTTAGGATTTTTGTTAAAAAATACAAACTCAATAACTTGTAATGCATGTAATAGAAAAAGAAAAAGTTAGTAATTTAAAAGCAGCAAATAACATTCACACAAGGCAGTATCATTTTGGGCATTTAGTCCGTGTATTTTTGTCTCCCAATAAAAATTAGTTCTTTTTTTTACATTACTTATTTATTTAATCTAACATTTTTTAGAATATATATTTGCATTATGAACTCGAATAAAATTAATTACAAAATACTTGCAAAACAAGTTGCACGAAGTACACACTGAGGTCTGGGAGATCCCGGGCTTACTTTACGTGTGAATTACCACAAAACCGATAGACAATTGACTACTCCGACAGTTGCTATCTACAGAGGAGACTTCAAATTTTTTTTACACGGTGTTCATATCCTCCTTATTTATTCTTTCTACTAATCCCAGGCAATAACGTGACGTGATTTTCACATCAGTTTTTGGTCATTCATGACATCAATTATTCTTTTATAATCATGTAATAATGACGTGAAAATTACCAGACTAAGTCGCAGCTCACCGACGTCATAATAAAACGTGAAAATGACGTCATAAAAAGATGTAAAAATGACGTCTTTTAATAAAATTTTCAAGTAAAATCAGCAACACTGACATATATATATATATATATATATATATATATATATATATATATATATATATATGTGTGTGTGTGTGTGTGTTTGTTTGTGTGTGTGTATGTGTTTATGTGTGTGTGCGTCAACGTTTGCTGATTTTACTTGAAAATTTTAGGTTACTTGTCTCCAATGTTACATAATTTTAAAAATTCTCACTGGCGCTGGATCTTGAACTTGGACCATGAGACATCTCTGGATTATGAGTCTGTTGTTTTAGAAACTACACCACTTCTATCAATTTTGTTTATATGTATTGTACTTAACACAGTGTAATATAATTTTTTGATAATATGATTTCATAAAATGATTTAATGTTAATAAAAATTATATTTTTCGTACTTTTATTGTTAATTTAAACTCTAGCTCTTTTTAATGAGGTAAAGTCTACAAAATCCCGCACATTCAATTTCGTTATCTTTAAATTTTTATAATAAAGATTTCTTTATTGTTAAATGTTATTAAATAGACAAAGTCATAAAAGACTATAGACTATAGACTTTGAGTAATTATAAAAGAGTATAATTTAATAAAAGAAAAAATCCACTTTATCATAAGATTTAATTAAATTAATTAAATTTATATATATATATATATATATATATATATATATATATATATATATATATATATATATATATATATATATATATATA